TATCTCTATGTCCTACTGCGTAACGCACTTTTAATTGCCTGGATGTGGTTTCACATTTTTAAATATGTGTTATAACGTTACATGCTATGTGTGGGACAATTAAAGTCACTTTGGAATAAAACATACATCAGTTTTTTGTGTCTTCGTCAACTGTGTGGGTGTTTCTGAGTCAGGGCTGCAACTAGCAATGCTCAATTAATCAACCTGTCTATAAAATGTCAAAACATTGGGAAAAATACAATTTCCCAGAGTGCCTATCAGCCCGACGTCCTGATGCATTCAGTTTACTCTGACAGAAAAAGCAAATTGTCACATTTGAGAACCTGAAATATGTCTGGACGTCCACGAAATCCTGCAGCTCTAATCTACAGCTCGTTTTTCTTTTAATGCCATATATTTTGTAATCTGACGTACAGCACTAAGCTGCTCAATGTATAAATGTGTCTTAATGTCTGAATTTAAATCCTCTGTAGAGGCAGAGAGACAGAGAGAGCTGCCAGCTGCTTTGTGAACTGCAGTATTGTCATCATGGTGTTGTTGGGGGGGGGGGGGGGGGGGGGGTTGCACACAGAGGCTCATTGAGGGCGGAGGAGCGGTCACTGCGTCCCGGTGGAGCTGCAGGAGCTCCTGACGCTGCTGCTGTCACAGAGACGCCATGAGGGGAATGCAAAGAGAGATAATGCTGCTGTCTGCACACTGCACCACGCTGCAGCAATAATTAGAGCCGTAACTATAGCAGTGCGGCTAAATAAATAAGTACAAAAAACGTCTAATGTACGTCTGTTTCTTTGTACATGTGCTGTTTGTGTTGGTTTTTGTTTTGTTTCTTTCCGTGAACTGTCAAGTGGGAACTAAGTATCTTTTTTTTTATAGAAAGGGGCAGGTAATATAAGATTAGTTTCTTCTCCCTGCTCCTTTTCGGTCAATGGTGTGTTAATGTATAATAATGGTTTACAAAACATATCTCTATTAAGTAGTGCATACCATGAGCGGAACAAAACAAATCTAATTATATGAAATGTATATATATATATTTATATGAAATAAATATTTTATACATATATATATATATATATATATATATATATATTTGTATTCAGGATTGTGGGAAACGGTTTGACTTGACTTTTTTTACTCATGTACTTGCAGGATTCTTGCCGTTCTGAATGTGTTTCCTTATGGTTCATTGCGCTTTTTGTATGTCAGCTAAATGAAATGTAATGGGAGAAGTACTTCCCCCTTTGAAAGAGATACTATACACAAAGTAAGTAAGATATAAATCGATAATTTTTACTCTTTGGGGTTTTCCCTTTCCTGTAGCGTGTTATATAGGTGTTTGTGCATGTAAAATCAAGGCTCTTCAATTAGTTTGTAATGGGGGGACGTCGATGAAAATGATCCAAAATAAGGGGCTATGAAAATGATGTCTAGGAATATGAGCGATCATGTTAATAACTACACATTGTCACAAAAGAGAAGCTTATCGTAATAAAACCTTTAATGAATAATCAATTAGAGTAAAGTACGACCACAACATAGGAGTGCATATGTTGTATTCAGTAAAAGCAGTGGAGCTCTTTTTTAACAATACAACTATTATTGATCATTATGAATTAATCTGCTGATTGTTTTCTACATTACGTGATTCATTGTTTATTTGTTTTTCAATTCAGTAAATAGTGAAACAATGCTGCCACAGTAAAAAAAGACCGCTTCACATTGATATTAAAATAATTGCAGTAATAGTCTCTTTGTGAAACTGAAACCAAGGCATTTTGAAAAAGCGATGGAAAAAGGACTTATTGTTATTAAACTAAACACATTTGTCCATGCCCTAAAGGTTAGAGCTTTAATGATTAGTTGATTAAAGGATTAGTGAATAGCCCAAACATTTAATTACACTTTTTCCAGGCTGTCTAATGAGAAACTGCAATGTTTTTTCTAGTGATGCATCATAATAAATTGTATATGTTTGAGTCTTTTGGCGCGTTTCCACTACAGCGCGGAGCACGGTTTAAGAGGGCTGTGACGTCAGCGGCCCGTCTTTGGTTGCGTTTCCACTTGGCCTAGTACCGGCCGGCGGGTCCTAATTCACAGTTTTTCTGGCCTCATAAAATCGTGGTTCTAGGGCCAGAGACAACAAGGCTGAGTCGGGCTGAGTATGCTAAACTAGAGAGAGAATCGCTGGCAAGGGGGCTACAACTACAACAAGATGGACATATTTGACCGTGATTTAATTGTAATACACGTTTCAAAATGATGCCGAAGTAACAACATACTGATACCGGTTAGTAAAAACCATGAATTAATGCTTTGTCAAGTCTGCAGACAGACGGCAGGCGAAAAACCTTTTAAAATGCTTGTTTTCTAAATGGAGATTGGCTAAGCTAACGCAGTATATGCTCCGACCGTCCACACTCACAACAACGGCCTATACAGACATAAATAAAGCAGCGACTGTATTCACCATGACACAGGCAGTCTGTGGTTTGTACTTGTTTAACTTTTGTCTAGTTTCTGAACATATATGAGGAGCTGTGAGCTCTGAGTGCTAACAGCTAACGGCTGTGTTGTTTTTCTGGGGTTCTCTGAAGATCACGTCACGGCTCCGCCTACACTGCGTTACTATAGATACTACCCCAGTTCCTAAACTGTAATGGAAATGCGCCATAAAGTGAGCCAGTCCTAACGAGGCCCAGCCATACCGAGCGGGGCCGAGCGAGGCCGTGTAGTGGAAACGCGCCATTAGACTGTTGGAGATGTCCCCTTGTGTCACGAGGAAGTCTTTTCTGATGTTTTATGGACCAACGATTACTAGAGGAAGCAATAATGAGTAAATTGCAGCGAGTGACAAACAGTCCTTTTTGATCTTGAGAACATCTGCAATCATCGAGCCATAACAACTTTTCTGTTTAGTTTTCTGCAACTTTACCAAAAGTGATATAAGAGAACATACAGAGGACACTGTAGAAGATAAAAAGGAGACGAATAGAAGTAAACAGATAACACTAAAAGGGTCAAAATCAAAGCTTTTTGTTTTGTTGTTGGAAATCCAGCCTTCTCAAAAACACACGGTCACATTGCCAAGTGTAAACAAAGAGCAGCGAGGCGCTCGCAGCTTAAAGGTCCGATCAGCGAACAACAGCGAGGGATCATGTGTTCGCCCCGGAGCCAACAGAGCATGAGCTGCTTTGTGCTCCGATGGATACCTGTACATGAAGAATGTGAGCTGTGGGGACATTCATCAGCAAACAAATAAAGTGCAACGCGACACCAGGGGAAACTAAACGTGTGTAGATAAAAAGACATGGCGTCCTTTATACAAATCGCCCAGCTGCGAATTACCCAAAGGTCGCTTTAACTTTTTTGTCTGTTTTATCTCCGAGGCAGAAAGTGCTGATTTATTTTCCGGAGAAAAAAAAAAAGTTTCTGCTTAACGAGCCGAATGAAAAAAGAGCAGAGAAACGAGACTATGATAAATTCTTCTTTAGGTTTATCGGTTTTAGAAAGCTGATTTCTTTCTTCTATAAATGCTGTCACTAACTACAACTAAAGGATTGGTTTATCATATTTGATCTTCAGAGATTCAACTACACGGTTAATTGATTATTCATTAAAGGTTTCATTAAGATAAGGTTCTCTTTGTGATTTGCAGCTTCCCACGCTGTTACAGGGTATATGCAGGAATCCTGAAGTCAAATGTAATCCCTTTTAAGACCTTTTTTAAGACCCTTTCCATACATTTTAAGACCTCATCGCCACTTTGAGTTCTAACCGGTTACATTGGCGACACACTTTACCTCACATTGACTATATACAGTATTGATTGTCCTTCCTCCTTATCTTCCAACCATTTGGACGCAGACTTGCATTTCCCCATAACGATGTTGTTTAACAACCGGCGTAAACGGACCTTAGCGCGCTATCAAGCAGTGAGCGCGCGATGTCCTGTTCAGATGACGTCAAATCCAACGGGATGCCATAAATAAACTACACAGAATCACACTACACACCTACGCAATGATTACATTCAGGCAAACTGTAGAATACAACCTCTTTGGACAATTTATATACTTATTGAAAACAAGCTACAAAATGTAATACCTTGGAAAATGCCGTTTAATACTTTTTAATAGCCTTCATTTTCGCTAAATTAATTGATCAACTTTTAATACTTTTTAAGACCCCGCGGACACCCTGTATTAACAGAAGAAACAGTTTGCCAGTTAGTCAATTAGGAAAATGACAGGAAATAATCCCAACAACTTTTATAATAAATGTATCATTGAATGCGTTTTTTAAACAGAAATGGGAAATATTCTTTGCTTCCGACTTTTGAAATGTAAGTATTTACTGCTCGGTTTTTTTATCTTTTAAAACAGAATAGCTTTGGGTTTTGGCATGTTTCTTTTAAAACAAGACATTTGAATAAATCGCATTGGGATGGGGAATATGCACTTTCAACTATTCATTAAAAAAATTAAAAAGTATCTAACTAAAAACTTGGCTCTTTAGAGAGAGCAAGCTATTCAAAGCTGAAATGATTATGCTCCTATTGATTTACAGACATTTTTCAAAAAAACTATTGTTTAATGTTCTCTGAAGAAGAAGAAGATACACTTTATTAATCCCTTACAGGGAAATTTCTTTCCCCACTCTGTTGTGTTCCTGGTTCTAGCGCAGATCCGCTTAAATTCTCTGATTTATATCTGCTGGTTTGGGGCAAAACTAGTTAAAGACAGAAACCTTGTGTTCTGGGGAATGCTGAGGGCTTCTGTTGCCTAATTGTCCGCATTTCTATTTGATTGATCAAGAAAAACCGTGCACATTTATGAAAACAATTGGTAGTTGCAGTCCATAGAACATTTACCAGATGTCTGTGGGAAACTAATAGCCTTTATCTCCTTTTCTAACATTTTAAAGCCCAAACAGTTATCGGGGTGAGTAATCTAATTAACAGACAATCGTTAGTGGCAGCCCGGCATAATGAAGACACTCACCGGTGGTTTGAGCTCTCGTTAGGATCCTGGAAGAGGAGTCAGTCTCCTGTCAGGCGCCTCTGTCTCCCAACAACAAAACCAAGGAGCTGAGGAAGAGAGAACACACAAGGAGACATTTTTTAATTTCAATAAATAACCTCTCATCTGGTAGAAACCTCCTGAGATCTCTGAGTGTACTATTTATGTCTTGAAGTCACAAGACAGAAACCACAAGATGTGTCCGTGTATGATAAGATCTTAAAAAAGTTTGATGGACCAATGTCACGTCTTTGTATGTGGCGGGCAAAGGGCGGCTGCAGCTTTCCTCCGATCTGTGAACAGGAAGCTGTGAGGAGAGGAAGACTCTGCGTTGCCCTCGGGAGAAACCAGCGCTCTGCAGACGCCAAGACCGCAAGCCCCCCCCCCCACTGCTCGATCTGCTCGTCTTCCCTTTCATCTCTAAGTCATTGTAAAGTGTAATGAAAGAAAGATTGGATGAATAATTCAACAGACACGGCGTTTAAGAAACTCCTATTTTTATGCATCTTTCTGATAATCTCACGCGTCGAGTGCTTCTTTCTCCTCATTAACAGAGTCTGCTAATTATGTTCACTTTCTATAAAAGGTCTTTATTTAAAGCCGTAATGGGACTTTCCGTCTGTTGTTTGGACGGGGAGCATTAACTCTTCATTTCCAAGGGTAACACGGCCTGATCCTTTTAGGTCTTGTCCGACTGAAATGGGATTAGGAGTGAGCATCTGCCCTCTCAATCTGGGTTATAACCTCCTCGGTACACCTGGCTCTGGGAAAAAAAGATCTGTGATCCGTGTCAAGTTCACAAAGACGGCAAATTGTAAAGCTCAAAAAGCACTTGCGATTTTTTTTGCAATATCCCATCACTGGTGTTTTATTCACTCAGAGGACAGACTTTGATTTCAGATGGCTGGACGCTGAGAAAACGATGAAATATTGAGTGAGGTTTGGCAACTGCAACGAGTAGATGAGATTCATGGAATGAGGGCAGAAGAAGAAAAAAAATCGAAAAAAGCGACTCAGCCGAAGCAGAGAGAAGAAAATGCACAAAAGCTTCTTAAATCATGTCAGTCTCACTCTTGGGGGTTTGGCAGAAGCAGGGCCGTCTCAGGATATGTCAAACAGCACCCTTTCCATCTGCCAATCCGGAGAAAGGCGCAGATTGAAGTTCTTGCTGTGTAGGCAAAGTGTGTAGGCGGGACATGTAAACAATGTGACAAAAAGCTAAATCCTCACATGGTGGAATTAAAGATCGGGGGAAGATTTGGGCGAATGTAGGCCAAAGTCGGGTTTTTTTTTTTTTCCCACCAGACAAACCATTACCACGCGAATGTCTGCTTCGTTAATACAGATGCAGATACATATCAAAGGCTAGGAGGAGGGGGGGGGGGTGAGACAGAATCAGGCTGCGGGAGATCCCTCGGTGGTGCTTCCTGTCTGATGTTTGGCTGCGAGAACCGAGGCGAATCGTACACAAGCAATATTTGGGATGGGGAGGCGGTGGAGACGAGGAGGTGGGGGATGGGGGGGTCGATTGGAGGAGGGGAAGGGAGCTCTCTTCCCAAAAAGGGCCTGAAAGGTTGGGTGAACGCCATGGATGTCTGAGAGCAATCAAACTGATCGCTTCTTCAAAATCTGTGCCAGGCGACCTCCACACCCTGCATCCTCCATCTCTCATACAACACACACTGTTTGTTTCATCAAACACACAAGACAACATTTAGGCGGCGCTTTCCCCCCAACGGCAACACATTTGGCAGATTTATGACACATTGTTAGCTGCGACCAAAACAATGCAGACATTATGCTGTGCTGAGAATAAAAACGACACTGTGTGGAAACAGAGAGATGTAAGCTAGCCCAAGGATATTGATGCTAACCTAAACACACACACACTAGCACACACACAGGGTAAATCCGACCTGCCTTAAGAGCCATCAAGTCCATTCACGTCAAGTCAACACCATAAACCTCACTAAACACTTGCTCTCTCTGTGTCACCTCACTTAAAGCTCATACAAGTACAAATCTGCTTTATTTGCTCACACAGAAACGCTGTCACACCAGGAAAACACAGCGTGAAGCCCGAACATCATCATGTCAGCCGTAACACTAAATCAATATACACATATGTACTAAATCTCTCTCCAACATGTACACATTTGAGGCGAGCTCACCTTCCTCCTGCTGCCTTTACAGTCATCCAGTCAGCGCATCCAGAGATCTCCTCTGAGCAGAATAAATGTAAGGCACCAGAAGAAGAAGAAAGAGAGCGACAGAGAAGCCACAACCTCACATTTCTGTTGTCCGGCTGCAGAGGAGATTATCTCCCTCTCTGGTGAAGTGCCGTCACCCTGCGAGTGAGGCGAGGAAGCCGGTTTCCTCTACACTTCAGCTGGAAAAAGGCCTGTCCTTGGGCATGTGCATTGTGTGTGTGTCTGCAGAGGCTGCCATGTCTCCCATTGTTCCAGGGCGAGTGAGGCAGGCTTCCTACCCCGATAGACCCTGCCTACTACAACAGCTGTGGACCAGCCCCCACCTCTCTTCCTCCTCCTCCTGCTACAACTCCTGCCTCTCTGCTGCTGCTGCTGCTGCTGCTAAACATTAACCCTGCAGCTGCCGGCTCCAGCCCATAAAGAGGTGGGAGAGGGGGGTTGTGTTTCAAAAAGAGACCCTAGCATGTAGCGGACAAAGGAACTTAACAGAGAGAGGATATCCGACAGCCAGGCTCAACTGACAGGACTTTCTGCAGAGAGCCGTTCAGTGGCCTAGAAAGAAAACAGGCTCTGTGCTAAGAGGATTGACTTTCTCAATCACAGCGCTGATAAGTGTTGGACTGAGCCATGTGGGACTGAGGTAGAGGAAAGTGACAGGAGATAAAGGGCTGCAACTAATCATTGTATTAGTTATAAAGTGTTTAGTCTATAAAAGGCTGGAAAGTAGTGAAAACATATTCGTCCACTTCTTAAAACCCAGGATATTGACTGTAATGTTATACAGTTACAGCTAAACCAACATACCTGCCCATATTACATTAGTTTAGATATCTACATCAGTTCATACTGGCTGGTTTGTAAAACAGTGACACCAATATATATGTTGTCCACTAGAGAGCCCTGACAATGTGAAATGTCCCACCATAAGCATAAGTAACAATACGCGATTTACTCGTGATCGTCATCACATATCCAGATTTGTTTTTGGTTTAATTAAAAAATACTATCCACAGACATGGCTCTGAAAATCCAGTGTCAGTCGGGTTATGGTCATATAAATTAAAAGCAGCACATTTAGGAAGGTGGCTAGCTGCTAACGGTGCTAACAGCTAACGGCGCTAACAGCCCAAACTGTGCACACAGCGGCAACAGATCTTTAGTCTCTATACAGCCGATTAAAAACGGAATATTTGTTAAGATATTCAACATACATACACTATCACAATAAAAAGCCTCACAATTGAGAAGCTGGAAGTGATTATTGGTGGTTGAAATATCAATTATTCAGCCAGGCCTTCAATCTTTAGAAGTTGTAATTATAATTGGAAAACCTAAGGATATTAAATGTATTGTACTTTAAGAAATGGAAAAGGTTATTTGTGGTTTTTACCTGAAAATACAATGATTCATCTATTATCAAAAATAGTGACTTGTTCAGAATGCTTATTTTGTCCACAGCTCACAATATATTGAAATCACAATCACATAAAACAAGGAAAGCATCAATTCTTAACATCTGAGAGGCTGGAACAAGATAAATGTAACAGTTTAGCTTAAAAAAACCCAGACTAAAACAATTAATTATTCATCAAAATAGCCGCAAATTCGTCTTGTCAACCAACCAAAGGATTGACCAATAGTTTCAGTACAGTAACTCTTTTATATTAAGAGATGACTTTTGTGAATGAGTAAGTTCAGATAACCTGTGTCGTGTCTAAACTGGTGAGCAGAATAAAGGAGGTTTTGTCCCGCTGTGGTTTATCTCTGCCGGTTTTCTCCCTGTGTGACTCATCTGCTCTCGTTGTTAATGAAGCTTCATCATCCTCAGACATACCAGACACACTAAACCGAGTCTGATGACAGAGCGACTCTCGCCCACAGCAACAACACCACTTCAATGTGGGAGGATAATACGATCAAGTAATAAGGGTAGGCAAAACATCCAGACGTCTGCCTCTGCCAACAATTATTCTAAAACAGCAGATCTATACGTACTCATTTCAAAGTTGAGCTTTTTTCAATTTGACCCTAATTGAGTCGACAAGAGACCTGACCTGAATCGACTTCGCCCCTCGACAGACTTCCTATAAATCCAGCGCCTCGGGGTGCTCACATGAATGTCAGTTGTTTTGAGCTTTTGTCATTCAGATCTGACCAAAACAGTGTAGCCACTTTGGCGAGTATTCAACTTGTCCCAGATACACTGCAGAATATCAATTTCTGTGTCTCAAATGCTGTGGTAGAATACAAATAAGTACTATTTCCTTTATTTCCTACCTTATACTTCTCCTCCACAGCATTTGAGAGGGGAAAGGGAAATGTACTCTAATGGATACGTTTAAGAGTTTTAGTTTGGAGGGAAACGATGTCCTTCCAGATGTGTTTGTTCATCATGTTTATGATAAGTGAAGGATGAAGTGTTTCCTTATGTGTTGAGAAATTCTCATACTTCTTAAGCTAAATAACATTTCAAAACCCTCTTGGATCAGCAGCGTAATGCTGAGTCAGAAAGCTAAAACCAAGTACACAGAAAGATATCAAATAAGTTCAAATAAGAACCACCATAATCTACAGCAGTAAAATGCATGAATGCAGCAGTACTATAAACCCACAAACTAAACAAATATGTATAATAATGAAACACTTATTAACACTGTACTGCACAATGACTCATACTCTGAGTAGATTTCACTGATAATACTTACATGAAAAAGCTTTAAATGCAGCACTTCTACCTGTAGTGGAGTGCATTCACAGTGAGGCACTTTTTCTTAAGTTAATTTGAAAAATGATTCCACCGTGGGCCATGCTTCCAGACAAAAAGACACTGATGAAAGATCAGGGGGAAATCCCCAAAA